CAAAAATAAACGTTACCAAAAAAAAATTTAAAAAAAAAAGTTTGTTTTTGAGAGACAGAGAGAGAGCGGGGGAGGGGCAGAGAGGGAGACAGAGAACCCAAAGTAGGCTTAGCACTGTCAGTGTAGAGCCTGACCTGGGGCTCAAACTCATGAACCATGCGACCATGACCTGACCAGAAGTGGAACACTTAACCGACTGAACCATCCAGACACCCCTACTTTGTGTATGGTTTTAAGAATAGAAATATTAGGGGCCTTGGAATATAGGCAGAGATTATATCTTCGTTGTGTTTTCTCTTTTGTGCTCCTCCACAGGGATAGTTTCTCCAGCCTCAGTGATTTCAGTTTGCACACCAGCCCCCCCTCCAGTATTTAGCGCTCTCTTGAGAGCTGAGGTTCAGGCATGGACTGAGGATGCATTGGGGCCCTGGTAGGTGCATTTTTAATATAGGCCCGTGTGATACTAATGCTGCTGGTTTGGGAGCCACTGGATTAGAGCACCACTTAATGTTAGTACACAATGATGCTGCAAGCAAGTTATCTTTTTATCACCTGATTTAAAACTTGTTCATTTATTTTATATAGTATTGTTAATCATAGTTACCATGCTGCATATCTCATCCCCAGGACTTATTTTATTGTATGGTTTTTTAATTATATTTTTTTCCTGGAAGGCGGCTGAGGAGGCTTGCCCAAGGCCACATAAGTAGAAGTCTCTTGTCACAGCTATCCCAGGATGGGGCTTCGCCCAAGGTGGCCACAAAAGTCTGGGCCTGGTCCCTGTATTTGGAACCATAGAGCATTATTTCCCAGCATCCCTTGTGGGGCTGTTTGCCAACTTCGTGGAGAATGGGAACCGCCCACCCTAAGCTGGCGATGTGCAGGACAGAAATTATTACCCAGAAGGCTGTGCCTTGTGTGTGGGCAGTAAGGACCCCTCCAATAAGAACACGGGAGAATGGCATTTCCTGCGGAAGTGGGGGTGACACTTCTGATGATGTCGTAGAGGCTGTGGCCGGTCTTTCCACGAAGGCTGGCGAGGGAGGAGGGAAGGGGAGGAGAATGGGACCCATCTCTGTGTCTTTGGGTGAGCCGTGACCCTCACCTGGCCGCACCGCTCCTGGACCTGCACCGGTCCTCCTTCCTCCAGGTGCCTGGAGGCGACACCCTGGGCCTTGTGTGTCCTCCCGTTTCTGGGACCCAATAAGATGAAGTACGGTTTCCGGGAACAAGAACTGGCAAGAACAGAGGTTTGGATGTGGTACTAAACTAGGAATGTTTCGCGACATCAGATCCATGCTGTGCCTGCAGCAACAGGAGAGCAGGCAGACAGGAATCAGCGGTGGAATGGCCCATGAGGAGCTGGATCTCTATTCTGAGGGTGATGGGAGCCGTGGAAGGGTTTAGAGCCGTGGAAGGACGTCCTCTGACTCGTCTTTACAGGCTCCTCACGTCTGCACACAGGAAAAGCAACTGTGCGGTGCGGGTTGTTTCCCTAATGTTAATCCAGCCTCGTTTTCTTCTGACAAAACCCAGTGACTCATATATACCTTTTTTCGTCTTACTTTTTCCTGGATGGGATTTGCCATAGATTTTATTACTGATTTCATTCACCTGTGTTAATTAGGTCTCTACTTCTGTAATTGTTTTGTTTCTTGTCCTCATGAAGTTTTGATGTAAGTGGTGTGTTGGCTTTTTTTTTTTTTTTTTTTTTTTTTTTTTTTTTTTTTTTTTTTTGGTACCTTCTCAAAATCACTTCATTTTTTAAATATCTTAGTATT